TTCACCATGTTGACCAGGACGGTCTCGATCTCTTGACCTCGTGATCCACCCGCCTCGGCCTCCCAAAGTGCTGGGATTACAGACTTGAGCCATCGAGTCCGGCCTTTTTTTTTTTTTTTTTTTTTAAGGAATCTTACTCTGTCACCCAGGCTGGAATGCAGTGGTGTTCTCTTGGCTCACTGCAACCTCCATCTCCTGGGTTCAAGTGATTCTCCTGCCTCAGCCTCCCAAGTAGTTGATATTACAGGTGTGTGCCACCACACCCAGCTAATTTTTTTTAGTATCAACAGAGTTTCACCATGTTGGCCAGGCTAATCTTGAACTGCTGACCTCAAGTGATCTGCCCACCTCAATCTCCCAAAGTGCTGGGATTACTGGTGTGAGCCACCGCACTGAGCCTTTATTTGATCTTTTTATGGCTTCTTAAGATGGAACTTGTTGTTATTTAGTTAGAGACTTTGTTAAATAACATCAAATTCTGCAAAATCTCATCTAAGTACTGCTTTAGCTGCATCCTACAAATGTAAACATGTTTCGGATAAACTGTTATTCACTTCAAGATAATGTATGATTATCCTTTTAATTTATTCTTGTGACTCATGGGTTATTCAGAAGTATGTTGTTTAGTTTTCAGGTATTTGTAGACTTTCACAGTATCTTTTTGTTACTGATTTCTGATTGAATTCCATTTCAGTCAGAGAATATACTTTCTGCTATTTCAAAACTTTTTAATTTATTGAGACTTGTTTATGACTGAACACGTGGCCTATTATTTTAACATTCCTTGTATGCTTGAGAATAATGAGTATTCTGCTGTTGTTTGGTACAGTATTGTAAAAATGTCAATAGGTTAGGTTGGTCGATGCTGTTGATCAAGGCTTCTATATCCTTCTGAATTTCTTTGTACTTGTTCTATCAGTGTTTTTGAGAGAAAGTGTTGAAATCTGACTATTATTATTGTGGACCTGTTTATTTTAATGGTATAATTGATTTGTCAGTTCTTTATGTACTTTGAGTTCTGTTATTAAGTATATATTTAGAATTATTATATCCTCTTGAAAAACTGAGCTTTTTTTTTTTTTTACTTTTTAAATGGTTTTATTTTATGTGCAAATAATGAACAGATGTTGTACCCATGAATTCTACTTTCCAAAAACAGGAGCTTTTAAAAGGAAAACCACGTAACTTTTAAAAGGCAGTGGGATTTCTCTGCTTCTGGATCATTGCTAGGCTAGAAAAATAAAGTTTGTTCTACCAGGAATCACTGGAAATGGAGATTCTAGAGTGTAGTGTCGCTCCAGGCAAAGATTATTCCGTTCTTATCTCCAACATCCATCTACTTATCAGAAGGGTTAAACCAGGTCAAAACAGTCCAGCATAATTAGGTTTCATCAAACAATGTCATTATGCTGTTCTAAGATGTAAATAAACCAAAACAGGAAATATTAAAATGAAAATAATATTTGAAGGCCGGACGCGGTGGCTCAAGCCTGTAATCCCAGCACTTTGGGAGGCCGAGGCAGGTGGATCACGAGGTCAAGAGATCGAGACCATCCTGGTCAACATGGTGAAACCCCGTCTCTACTAAAAATACAAAAAATTAGCTGGGCATGGTGGTGCGTGCCTGTAATCCCAGCTACTCAGGAGGCTGAGGCAGGAGAATTGCCTGAACCCAGGAGGCAGAGGTTGCGGTGAGCCGAGATCGCGCCATTGCACTCCAGCCTGGGTAACATGAGTGAAACTCCGCCTCAAAAAAAAAAAAAAAAAAAAAAAAAGAAAATAATATTTGACTGCTGAGACCAGCTCGGTCGTGGAGACCACAACCCAGGCAGCGCTGAAGGAATTAAGAAACAGACACAGAGATAGAGATTAAAAAGGTATGGTATGGGACAAACAGGTGGGGCCTCAGCATTCCCAGCTAAGAGCCTCGAACACAGTCCGATCCACACATTTATTGACCGCAAGCAAATGAGAATCTTCTTTTTAACCAAAAGCGTTCTTCCATAGGGAACAAAGCATTCTTTACTGGCTAGAAACAGGCTCTGGGGCGCTTATCTACTGCAACTGGAACATGTCGTTAAGGCACTTGCCATTCCTGCTATTGTTTATGGTTCAGAAGCCCCCCAAGCGGTCTTCCGCCCAAGGGCAGATTAGGTCTTTCTTTCCCAGCTCCAGTAAACCAACAACCTCTAGCAATGTGCGTCACTGCCATCACGAGGATGTCTTAGTGCTGTTGATAGTCTGTTTATGACCAGGCTTAAGGGCCTGCTCTCAAATGCTCCCAACATTTGACACTGTCATACAAATTATTAGTTCCTTGTCGTATCCTTCTTCTGTAACATTAATAAACTATTTTACTGCAAAGAATATTTTATTTTATACATCGCTAACCATGAATTTTTGCCATTAGTTATTACGCGAATGTTGCTTAGGGCAATTAGCCAAATGGCATGACCATTTTACGTCCACAATTCACTTCTATAGTTGTAAGCAGAATTTTCATAACTTACATAAGTACATCGATCAGTGAAGATTTAACACTGAGATGCAATCTAACATCTGTAATACCTGATGTTTTGTAAATGGCAATGTAGGAAAGCTACATTTTAATCACTTTTCATTTAAGTCACCTATGTAAAAAATAAACTAATAATTTAGGAGTTCCAAGTCTCCAAAGGGCATTTTCAAATGTACATGAAAGAAATGGTTATGGAGATTTTTAAGAAGCATCTTCGATGTCCACTTCCTCTTGTAACTGCTGTGCCATTTTCTCTTCCAACTGCTTCCCTTTGCTGCGGGTTCAGATAAGATGGATGTTTTGTTTGACTTCTTTGATATCTTGAACTTTCTGTAGCTCTTTATTTTTCTTCAATCTGTTCATTATCAATTTAGCTTGGCATTTCTGTTTGATCTCTTCAACTCTCTTCATTGGCATCAGTTTTATTCCATAGCTCTCACTGGTATTTGATAGGTTCATTTCTACATTTTTCAAATTCAAATGAATTATCTACTGTAAGCTCTTTACCAACTGCTTTCCGAGATGCTTTGATCTACCTAACTCTGCGAGGATTGCACTTCTTTTTAAAGTTTTTATGACATTTAGATTTACAAAATCTGAAGAACTTCCAGTTGTTGCGGACGAAAATCATGTCGTGGGTAGATGCGCTGAAAAATTGAGCTCTTTATCATGATGAAATGACTTTCCTTATCCCAGATAATATTCTTTGCTCTGACATCTTGGTTTGAAATTAATATAGTCGCTCCAGCATTATTTTGGTGACTGATTGCATGATATACATTTTCCATTCTATTACTTTTAACCTTTTATGTCATTTGTAAATTAAGTGGATTTCTGTAGGCATCATATTATCAAGGTTTCCTTTTTTTCAATCTTACAACAATCCCAGTCTTTTATTCGGGATATCTACATCATTTAAAATGCAATACTATTGATACATTTGGTTTAAATTATCCATCTTGCTATTGGTTTTCTGTTGTTTGTATCTATTCTTTGTACTCTTTTCTTTCTTATTTTTTAAATTTTTGTGGGTACAAAATGGTTGCAGATATTTATGGTATACATGAGATATTTTGATCTGAGCATGCAATGCATAATCATCACATCATAGAAAATGGGGTGTCTGTCCCCTCGAGCATTTACCCTTTGTGTTACAAACGATCCATTTATACTCTTTCAACTATTTTTTTAAAGTACAATTAAATTATTATTGAGTATAGTCACCCTCTTGTGCTATCAAATACTAGGTATTATTCATTCTTCCTAACTACTTTTTTGTATTCATTGACAATCGCCACCTCCCAATGCCCCCTTACTACCATTCACAGTCTCTGGTAGCCATCCTTCTACTCTGTATCTCCACGAGGTAAATTGTTTTGATTTTCAAATCCCACAAATAAGGGAGGACATACGGTGTTTGTCTCTCTGTGCCTGATTTATTTCACGTAATAAAATGACCTCTAGTTCCAACCATTTTCAGAGTCTCATTCTCTTTTATGGCTGAATAGTACTTCATTGTGTAAATGTACCACATTTTCTTTATCCATCCATCTGCTAATGGACACTTTAGTTTGCTTCCAAATCTGGGCTATTGTGAACAGTGCTTTAACAAATGTAGGTGTGCAGATATCACTTTGATATACTGATTTCTTATCTTTGGGGTATATGCCCAGCAGTGGGATTGTTGGTTTATAGGGTAGCTCTATTTTTAGTTTTCTGAGGAACCTCCAAACTGTTCTCCATAATGGTTGTACTAATGTATATTCCCATCAACGGTGTACAAGGGTTACCTTTGCTCTACATCCTTGCCAGCATCTATTTCCTATGTTTTGAATAAAAGCCATTTTACTGGGGTGAGATATCTGATTGTAGTTTTGATTTGCATTTCTCTGATGATCAGTGATGTTGAGCACCTTTTCATATATCTGTTTGCCATTTGTATGTCTTCTTTTGAGAAATGCCTATTCAGATCATTGGTCCATTTTTAAATTAGATTATTAGATTTTTTCCTACAGATCTGTTTGAGCTCGATATATATTCTGGTTATTCATCTATTGTCAGGTGGTTAGTTTGCAAATCATCTCCCATTCCGTTTTGTGGATTGTCTCTTTACTTTGTTAATCGTTTTCATTTCTGTGCAGAAGCTTTCCAAGGATTCCCAGGGTGAGAAGAAGGGATGTATTGCTGGAATGTAGGTGATTTTTAGGGCAGTGAAACTGCTATTTTATATGATAGTGTAAAGGTGAACAAATATCCTACTTTTGTCCAAAGCCATAGAAGGTACAACACAAAGAATCAATTCTAATGTCAACTATAGACTTTAGTTGGCAATAATGTATCAATATTGACTCATCAAGTATACCATATTAATGCAAGTTATTAAAAATAGGGGAAATTGGTGAGAGTAGGGATATATAGGAATTCTGTGTACTTTTTCTCATTTTTCTCTGTACACCTAAAACTTCTCCAAAAAATTAAATCTGGCTTTGGCAGATTTGAATGGAGTAGTCACAGTCGTTGGTGTGACAAGTCAGATGAAGGTGATTGGTCAAACCACTTCCACCAAGTGAACGCTTGGAGCAGGAACTGTTTTCTGAAGGAAATACAGGGATTAACTTTGAGAAATATGATGATATACTAGTAGAGGCAACTGGCAGTGACTATCCTCCACATATTGAAAATTTCAGCAATATTGACATGGGAGAAATTATCATGGGTAACATTGAGCTTACTCAGTATACTTGTCCTACTCCAGTGCAAAAACATACCATTCCTGTTATTAAGAGAAAAAGAGACTTAATGGCTTGTGCCCAAACGGGTTCTGGGAAAACTTTTTGCCCATACTGAGTCAGATATATACAGATGGTCCAGGAGAAGCTTTGAAGGCTGTGAAGAAAAATGGAAGGTATGGGTGTCGCAAACAATACCCAATCTCCTTAGTTTTAGCCCCAACAAGAGAATTGGCTGTACAGATCTATGAGAAGTCAGAAAATTTCCATACCAATCTAAAGTTCGTCCTTGTGTAGTTTATGGTGGTGTTGATATTAACAGATTCGGGACTTAGAACGTGGATGCCACTTGTTAGTAGCCACTCCAGGACATCTAGTGGATATGATGGAAAGAGGGAAGACTGGATTAGACTTCTGCAAATACTTGGTGTTGGATGAAGCTGATTGGATGATGGATATGGGATTTGAACCTTAGATACTTTGTGTAATTGAACAAGATACTATGCCACTAAAGGGCATTCATCACACCATGATGTTTAGTGCTACTTTTCCTTAGGAAATACGGATGCTTGCTCATGACTTTTTGGATGAATATATCTTTTTGGCTGTAGGCAGAATAGGCTCTACCTCTGAGAATATCACACTGACACAGAAAGTAGTTTGGGTGGAAGATTTAGATAAATGGTCATTTCTGCTTGATCTCCTAGGTGCAACAGGGAGGGATTCACTGACTTCAGTGTTTGTGGAGACCAAAATGGGAGCGGATTCCGTGGAGGATTTCTTATACCATGAAGGACATGCTTGTACTAGTATTCATGGAAACTGATCACAGAGAGATCGAGAGGAGGCCCTTCACCAGTTTCACTTGGGGAAAAGTCCAATTGTTGTGGCTACAGCTGTGGCAGCGCGAGGACTAGACATTTCAAATGTGAGACATGCTATCAATTTTGATTTGCCAAGTGATTGAAGAATATGTGCATCATACTGGCAGTACCAGATGTGTAGGAAACCTGGGCCTTGCCACCTCATTCCTTAATGAAAAAAATATGAATATTACAAAGGATTTGTTGGTTCTTTTTATAGAAGCTAAACAAGAAGTGCCTTCTTGGTTGGAAAATATGGCTTATGAACATTACTACAAGGGTGGCAATCGTGGACAATCTAAAAGATTCAGCGGAGGATTTGGTGTTAGAGACTATCGACAGAGTAGAGGTTCCAGCAGTTCTGGCTTTAGGAGTAGTCGTGCAAGCAGCAGCGGCAGGGGTGGAGGTGGTTACAGCAACAGCAGAGGATTTGGTGGAGGTGGCTATGGAGGCGTCCGCAATTGTGATGGTTATGGAGGAAATTATAACTACCGGGGGTTGACTGTTGGGGCAATTGAATCTGCTTTGCAGCAAAGTCGCCCTTACAAACAAGCTCATATGGAAACCACATGTAACTTAGCCAGACTATATTGTGTATCTTCAAGAACTTGCAGTACATTACCAGCTGTGATTTTCCTGAAATTCAAGGGAGCTCAAAGTCACAAGAAGAAAAATGAAAGGAAATAAACAGCAGTTCTATTCAGAAATTGTTTGAAGACTTAATTGCTGTAGTTTGGATTTAACTCTTCCCTCCTGCTTTTGTCACACCCCAAACTGCATTTATAATTTTGTGACTAAGGATCATTTGTTTGTTAATGTACTGTGACTTTAACTTTAGACAACTTATTGCTTTGATGTCCTGTTGGCTCAGTAATGCTCACAATACCAATTGTTTTGATGAAATAAATTTACTAAACTTGGCCTAAAATCAAACCTTGGCACACAGGTGTGATACAACTTTAACAGGAATCATCAATTCATCCATAAATACAAAAAGGAAAAAAAACTCCAGGCAGTAGCCTGCATTAGGACTGTTTGACTCTTGCAGACTTGTGGGTTGGGGTAACACCTTAAAGCATTAAAGCATAGTTTTTTATACAGCCAACCTGTACTAAGTTCAGCTCTGACTTGCTCACTCTATCCTGGATAGGCACTTAGAAATTTATACTCTTTAAATAAGCCATTCCAGTCACGATGAGGTGGAATGTGGCAACATACCCACTAATATTTTTGGTTTATTCATTTATTAATTAATTAATTTATTTATTATTATTTTTATTGCATTTTAGGTTTTGGGGTACATGTGAAGAACATGCAAGATTGTTGCATAGGTACACACATGGCAGTGTGGCTTGCTGCCTTTCTTCCCCTCACCTGTATCTGTCATTTCTTCCCATGCTATCTCTTCCCACCTCCCCACCCCGTCCCTCCCCCATTTCCCCCCAACAGACCCCAGTGTGTAGTGCTCCCCTCCCTGTGTCCATGTGTTCTCATTGTTCAACACCCACCTATGAGTGAGAACATGCGGTGTTTGATTTTCTGCTCTTGTTTGCTGAGAATGATGGTTTCCAGGTTCATCCATGTCCCTACAAAGGACGTGAACTCATCATTTTGATGGCTGCGTAATATTCCATGGTGTATATGTACCACATTTTCCCTATCCAGTCTATCATCGATGGGCATTTGGGTTGGTTCCAGGTCTTTGCTATTGTAAACAGTGCTGCAATGAACATTCGTGTGCATGTGTCCACTAATATTTTTGAAAGAGCTCTTTAAAGTTAATTCAAGTAAATATTGCATTTTTTCATTTAATGTTAGGCAGTTTATTCTAAGCTAGGCAAATGTGGGCATACTATCAGAGGAAAGGATTAAAGCTTTGATAAAATGTTTGGGGGAGATTTCATTTAATTAGTTTTCTTAATGCCTGCTATAAAAATGTGAAATGTTAGAATGGCTGACCATGGCAATGACCAGTCCTCACCATAGGCTTGTTTGGATTCTGGTCTTCAATGCATGCTAGTGTTGATGTTTTTTGGTCAAGAAGGGGTTTAAACAGGAAGGATTATGCAGCAGGCTTTAATTTAAATGTAGATTCATATTGCTCTGTTAAAGCTGCATTGAAATGTTAAAATGGCTTAGGCCTGTAGACTTTGTAAATCTAAGACTAACAGAAATCCTTGAAATCACACAGGTTGCAAATATGTACTAAACTGCACAAAGTATGTGTTCTGTATGTGCAGTTTTAGTGTACTTCAGTTGCATAGATTTCCATTGTATTTATAGTCTCTTGTGCTAAATTTGGCCAAAGATGATTGTCCACCACTAAAAATGCCTCTCCCACTTGGAATTTTGTACTGATTTTGTGGCCAGAATGCAATGATCTTTAAAAACAAATATTTTCGTTGACATAAAAAGTTGGCAAAAATTTCTTAAAGTACAATAGATTTTCAAGTGTATTGTGCCTTGTTCTAAAACATAGGTAGGTGCACTTGACAGTATTGAGGTTATTTGTTAAGGTGATATTTCAGTTAGTACAGGTTTAGACTCTTGTACATTTTGCCCATAACTTTTTACAAAGTACTTATTTTATTGCACATTCAGAGAATATATATATATATATATGTCTTGTGTGCGTGTCCTCAACCTTCCAAACTTATTTTGTCTCTTGGAGACTGTTGAATGTAGCCAGTCAAGAAGTAGATTCTAAAATTTTATTTGGGACCATGGAATGATAGTTGAGAAGGAAACTATCTGGACACAACAGATTTTGGATACTGTTTGCTACTAGTTGTATAATATTTATTGAATATTTTGACAAATATTTATTTTTGTAAGCCTGAAAATGATTCTTTGAAAGCTTAAAGAAACTTGACCGAAAGACGGTACAAAAAACACTGGCACTTGAATGTTTAACATCACCACATGTGAAATAATATATTTTGGGGTAGTGTGAGCTTTTAATGTTAAGTCCTATTAAACTTGAGTCAAATTAAACAGACCTGGCATTGGCACTGTAGCTATAATTTTCCGACAAAATTCAAGACAAAACTGTCAACTTGAAATTAAAACATATCAAGATTTTGATATACTTGTCTTAAGATATTAATGAAACATGAAACACTTCTGAACACTGATATGAAGTGTCCACATCCACAAAGATTGTCTGAATTTTGTTATATGTTTTGTTTTGTTTGATTTTCAGTGATTGTCTGGCATATTTACAGTCCTCAAACATGTAGTTATTTTTGTGTATTGCCGTAATCAGTGACTTACATTCAGTTTTATCAGCCAGCAATATCTTCAGTAAATAAAGAATGGATCTCACTTCAAGCCCTAAAAAAAAATTTAAAAAAATGAATGGAATTGCTGAATATAACCATTGAACCTCTAGTCACTGTAAGTTTAGTAATTGCTTGTTGTATTAGTTTTAGATGCCGGCACTGCTTGTGCTCTGTTTATTCTGATTTTATTAAAATAAAAAGTTCTAAATCTTTAAAAAAATAAAAAATCTATTATTTTTAAAAATTACATTAAGTCATGGACTGGAAATATAAAACAATAATTTCCAAGGTATTGGACATGAAGCAATGAAAGAATAATCTGAAGAGATGGGAAACAAATTGAGTGACATGTATTTAAAAATTCTGTTTAACGTTCTCGACTTCTCCTCAAGCTTCTTGACCATATGGAATAGTGATAATAACCATATAATATCCTTGTCTAGTAATTCTACCATTTGTGTCATTCTTAATTTGTTTCCATTGAATGAATTTTCTCTGCATTCAGAGTTGTATTTTCCTGCTTGCTTGCATGCTTCATTATTTTTTATTAGATGCCAGATATTGTTCATTCTAATTAGCTGAATAATAACTATTTTTCTATTTCTGTAGTTTTCCTTTTTGTTCTCAGATGTGGTTAAGAAATTTAGAAACTATTAATATTTTGTCATTTCAGGATTCATTTTTATGCTGTATTAGGTATGATCAGAGTGATGTTCACTCTGGGAATAATTTTCTTCCATTCTCAAAGCAAAGCCTTTCGAGTACTTTGCTTTATGCTCTGTGATGCTCTGTGATGTGTGAGCTTTTCCACTGTAGCTGATGGGAGTCACATTCCCCACCCTGTGTGAGCTTAATGCTATTTAGTCCTTTCAGATGGCTTTTCCCCTAACCTCTAGTAGTCTCATGGCAAACCTCTGTACCACTTACTTAAATACTCAAAGGGAAATCTCTACAAAGCTTCCAAGTTCTCCCTCTGTGCAGCTCTCTCTTCTCTAACACTCTAAATTGAAAACTAGAGCCACCTTGACTCCTCTACAATGTACTCCACATAGGGAAATCACCAAGCTCTGCCTGGGTTACCCTTTCCTACAGTAAACTGAGGTAGTCATGTTACTCAATTTGTTTTTGTTTCTCATCTCTTCAGATTACTCTTTCATGGTTTTATGTTCGATATCTTGGAAATTACTCTTTCATGTATGCTGCCTAGATTATTTCATTGCTTCAGGGGGAAGGGTCAATCTGGTCACCTTTTCTCCATCTTTACCGGAAATATGATCTCATGAAACATAGTTTTTAATATCCCATATTTAGCAAGATCTTATTCAGGCTAAGAAAAAGAAAATGGGAAAGAGAATCTTCATCAAATTATTTCTAGAAAAGATTTTCAAATACCCAAGAAGTTATACTCAGGTAAGACAGTCACTCTTTTTCTGTTGGACACTGTTGTACTTGCATGTGATCCTGAAACACTTTTTGTAGAGATACCAGTCCTAACTGGGATATCTCTCTGATGCTGACAGCAAGCTCTTGGGGCCTTCTATAGGTAGGAAACTGATGAGGGTTTATCTCAGAGACCATGATGTCATAATTTGGCTTTCCCCCGCAGGTACCTTCAACTCCCCTGAGCTGTTGACAGTTCCTTCAATGTCCACTCATGGTTGTGAAGGTCCATGCTGGTTACATCTCTTAAAGCCTGACCCATGAGAAGAGATTTAATTCACTTCAGGTCTATTATTATAAGGGAGAGACAGGAGTGACATCAACCCCTGCAACCTCATACCTCATGCTTGTTCTCCATGCTTTCTACATTTGGAAGAGCATGAAGACTGCGATAGTGTCTCAAAGCTAAGTCTCAGAGACTGTGAAGGAATCTCTGAAAGCGTGCCATTCAGAGAAAAACCTTGATCTTCTTATCACAATGTGGGAGGGAAAAGGTATTGGGGTAACTCATTGACAGATTTCCTGCTGAGTCCCAAGCAGAACCGATAAGGTCGGGGGTTTTTTGGTCCAAATATCTGGGTATAATTACATAAGTTACATTAGTAATGATAGGTGACATTTGTTGACAATTTGACACATCAGGACACGGAGCTCTGTATTCTTCCAGCACGTCACTTAAAATGCTCAAGAAATTAAAAGATATGTGCTTCTATAACCATTTTACAGATGAGAAAACCGAGTCCCCGAGTGGTTGATTGACTTGTTTGACAATGGGTTCCCCATCTGTGTGCTCCTGCAGGGTCCTGTACTTTGCCTCCCTGTGCTCCTCTCACATAGTGTTGAATAGAAAAGGCTATATCTGTTTCTCACACAATACAGTGGGAGATGGTAGGATCTAGGGGAAGTAGGAACTTAATAAAGAATCAAGAAGCCTATATTCTTCTCTCCTCCTACCTTTTTATACCTATGTGACCTTTTCCACCGAATTGCTTTTTTACTAAGTTTTAATGGCAAGGAAATGTGGGGGAAGGTTCCTGAGATAGTGGTTCTCAAACTACTGCCTACACCTGAAGCTGTGTACAGTTGAGACAAAAGCTGCCTTTGAATTTTTGCTCCAACAGGAACAGAAAAAAGTAAAAAGAGCTCACATGCAGTAAATGCTTATTGTAGGCTAGGCTGTATTTTTTTTTAAGCGCATTGCGTCATTTAAGC